TGTAGCTGCAACAGGTAAAGCTGGTACTATATAAAATATTATAACAGGAAAAACACAAGAGGTTTTGTTTTTTATTGCTGGAATACAACACAAGTTCCACATTGCAGCTAATTGATAACTAACCTGACCTGAGAGACAGTGATGCAGTGATCACTGAGTACAGACAGAATAAATTCTCATCCCACAGAAACCATCATCATAACATTTAAAATATTCAGTGAAAATTTCCCTCGAAATGCCAAGCACTGTACAAGATTATAGGTAGAAAAATTTCAAGTACAATCCAGAATTGCGTGCAAAACTTCATTCTATGCGAATGAGAAACAAAGAGACACCAAACACCAAAGAGAAAGTGGAACCAACTTGTATAATTATAATTGATGCTGAATAAATAATCATCCTCATATTTGATATAGTGCCTTTCACGGGGGTGTACTTCTCGGATTAGTTCACAGGATTTACTGTAAAGTGTAATGTCTATGCACTTTGTGTCAAATGCAGCAGCCAATTTTAGATACAGCAATATCCCATGCAGTCATGAAGTGAATGACCTAATTTTATCTGCGGGATTCTCCACCAGGACATCAGGAGAAACTTTCTTCTCTTTTCACGAAACCCTCATGCATGCGTTTGTCACCTCCTGCTTGGATTACTCCAACGCACTCCTCGCCGGTCTCCCCAACTCCACAATTCAAAAAATCCAGCTCATTCAAAATTCTGCCGCCTGCATACTGATCCGGACCAAACTCCACACCAACATCTCACCAGTTCTAGCCGGGCTCCACTGGCTCCCCATCACAAAACAAATCGACTTCAAGATCCTCAAGCTCGTGTTCAAATCCATTCACTCCCTGGCACCTCCCTACCTCTCCGACCTGCTCACTCCCCAATCCACCACCCGGCGCCTCCGCTCGACTGGCACTGGCCTCCTGCTTGTCCCTCGGACCCTCTGCCCTACCATTGGAGGCCTGAAAACTTTCCTCTTTGACCGTGCTTACAGCCACCCCACCCCGGCTTGGACCATTGTTAAGCACTCTTAGACGCTACCCTGCGTGGAGGGCACTATCTAAGTGCAAGTTGTTATTGTTGTTGAGAACTTTTCACGTTTAACATGTGAATAGGATCTCGCTCTACTTCTCATTCACAGGAGAGCAGCTCCAACAATCCAGTGCTCCCAGTCCTGTTTGTTTGTCAATTATCACATCACACAATTTGGACATGATAAACAACAACAACACTTGTAAAGCCCTCCATGGCGTTGCTCCTCCCTATCTCTGCAACCTATTGACACCATGCTAACCTGTGCGCTCCCTGCCCAAACCCACCATTGGCAGATGGGCCTTCAGCTTTTCTGCCCCATTCTTAGGAACTCTATCTCAGAATCCCTCTCCCTAGTCTCAAGATTTCCTTTTGACCATGCTTTCAGCCATCCTCCCATCCCGCCTACTCCTCTTGGTTCCAACACCCAACTCAGGTACAAACTTGTAACTGTCCATCACCTTGGGATGTTTTTCCGACATGAAAAGCGCTACATGTGAAGTACTGTAGATCTGGGCTTAGAGTATTTGCCTCGCAAGTGAGAGACCTGGGTTCGTTTACCAGCAGGGCTAAATGTTGGGCAAGTTTCCTTACTCCACAAGCCTGTTTACCTAGCAGTAAGTAGGAACCCATTGTTAGTCGATTGTCAGATCTCTTTTCCAGGGGTAACAATTCCTTCCTTCCAAAAAAAAGATAAATTAGTCACTTCGATCCACGACTCTTTGTGGGACACTGCTGTTCACAATTGGCTGTAGCGCTTCGTCCACAAAATATACAGTCAATTCACTTCACAGTATATTCCGTGAAGCGCTTTGAGACATCTTGAAGACGTGAAAGGCACTATATCAAATGCAAGGATTACTATGTTATTATATAAATGTGATTTTGTTGTTTTTGATGATAAGCAATGGGTCACCTGAGATGCCCAAGTCTCTTTCAAATTCCCTCATTCTAAAAGAGGGCTTCAAAAAAGTTATACAAGTCCGAAACTCAACTGAAGCTCAGAATAGTCAATGTGCTGATCCACTGGCTTTTTTATAAGCAAGAAAATTGATACTCGTCTCGCACAGTCAGAAGATTCCTGCTACCATGTTTAGTACAAAAGTTAACTGAAATTTAAAGAACAGTTTGTGTAGTTTAGACGTTACTGCTTGCATGCCACATTTATTGCTATGACACAAATTTAAATTAATTTAAATGTAATGTGTTCACTGATATGGCGTCAAGATATAAATACAATCATTTTTACTTTGGTAAATTATACCTAAACAAAACTACAGTATTTTGCATTATAATAAGTTCAGACTATATACATGAAAGCAGGCTATTCAACTTAATGCACAAGCAAGTTATTACATGAGCATAGAACTAGTGGACAAATAAATTATATTATCAATTTTTAAACAAGACTAGATATTAGAATAATATTTGCCTCTAACAGAACATGTGAACAGATTCAATTCTGATACAGTGTTGATTAACCCTTTTAAAATTTAATAAATAATGTTTTAGGGAACAGTATTAGAGGTTATAGGAACAGGTACAGATTGAAATGAACAAATAATGCACCACATTGCTATTGGGCCAGGAATGAAAAGAAGTAAGAATATACTAATGGAAATGGCTGAATACTCTTTTACTTAATTTTTCTTTGAGGATCTCTGATTAATTGTGTAGAATATTTCCTCAAGGAAATATGTGGGAGGTGAAAACCACATTTGGATATTTTTATCTTGGTCTGTGGAAGGGGCAGATTTAATAGACTCAATCTAAGATAGAAGCGGAAAGTTATGTCAAAGCAGTTCAGTCAGGTTGAGTATTAAATAAAAGTTAATAAGAGCATTGCACACAGACCAGATGAGGGTCAAACAGGACATTCGGTATATTTGAAGCTGCCTACTTATTGCCAGTTATGTCGTCATCTCAATAACTGTTAAAAATATCGTAACACACTGCCTTCCATTCCTTTCTTTTATTTATGCACCGTGGGCATTTTCGTTTTTCTGGAGAGCTAAGTGTTTGAAATTTTATTCTCAGATTTGTTTTTTGTTCTTGGATCTAAATGAATTTCTCAGGAATCAACGACTAATGGCAAGCTAAAATTTAACATCTTCAATGTTACCCAAACACTGCGCAAACACAGATTTGGTTTCAGGATGAGGGAATAAACGGGCTGAGATACAAATTCAAAAAACACCCCTGTGAGTTTCAAAAAACATAACTAGCTGATGGTTGAACAAGATTACAATTTTATTTCCCCATCAACAAGTATGTAAAATATCAACTGCAGCTTAATTGTAAAAATATAGAGAACAATACCTCGACATATATTAAAAAGATATCATGTTCAATGGAATAAAAGTTATAGAAAAATACATATTTGTCAAGGTTTTTCTCCCTGTTATCTGGTAGTTCAACATCAGTATTTTGTTTCACCAATACATTACTATATTACTATATTATTCTCAGGTGAAACATAATCAATAGGCTCTCATAACACCATGAACCCAGACACCAAAGCTCTTCCAATACTCAGGCACTGATTTCATAATCTATGTCATGTAACTGGATTTTCTGTAGTATCTGACTCTTATCCTGCTTACAATATCTTATAATATAATGCGCATGAATTCAATACAATATAATGCCTGTTGAATTCAAGCTCCCCCTATTGGGTAAAGGTGGGTAAAGGCCTGTTGCTGAACTGCACCACAAAGGTTGAATCTGGGTCTATGCGGATTCAGCTGTGATGTTATAGGGAGCAACAGCTGCAGTGCTACAATTGGCATCAGTGACTGCTTTAAGGAGTGTAGGTCAGTTCTCTTGATTTCCATCCTGGTGGAAAGTTGCTTGTGTGGCCTTGTGGAATAGACCTGGCCATAATGTGCCTACATTGTTGTTGAATTGGCAAGTTAAATTTCAATCTTCTCCAAAATAGCTAAATTCAGCAAGAGCAAATGCTTATACAAGTTACTCAACGATTATGAGCTAATTTAAATTACATCCCTGTACTGTAAAACACAAATTTGGTGCTGGAAAAATTGTATCATAAATAAAGCACCCTACAAAGAACAAAACTGATGATCTTACAATTTGAATACAAAAACATAAAACACATATACAGGGCAAAGAGCCACATCAGATGTCTCGGTTGGCTGCAGACTTTGAGCACATGACCCAGGCTGACACTCCATGCATGTGTTGGGGGTAGCAATGAATTGTCATAGACATGCGGTCCTTCAGATGAAACATTAAACTGAGGTCCCACCTATCTATTCACGTCGACAGTAAAGAATCCATGACACTCCAAAATCAGAAGGGAATTTCCCCTGATATCTCAGCCAAAAATCCTTCAGATAAATTGGACAATCAATTCCTTAATGCTAGTGAGATGTTGCTCTGTGTGAATTGGCTGGCGTGTTTGCTTACATATATTCAGAAACTGCAATTAATAATTTCTGTGACGGGCTTTGAAATGTTTGAACAATGTGATAAGGTGCCAAACCAAATGCAAGCATCATTACTTAAATTGTTATACACTCTGCTTCACCATGGATTTTTCTCACTTTAAATTTCCTGAGGGCAGTGATCATCAATACTTAAAATTGTTCTCTTCACCCCCAAATTCCAGGGCAGTAATGTAATGCTGCATTTTTTTCCCAAACAGATTCTTCAATGCAAATTTTCCTCATCGGTGGTACATGTGCAAAGTTACAATGCACTAATTTTAAGAAAAAAAACTTTCATTTATTTGAAAACAATTTAAACTTTAAATAAAATTGTGTCTACCTGTCTTGCCTTATGAGCGGTCTCAATATCATGCTCTTTTAAACAGCTTACAGCTCGCGAGTCTGGGGAGCTCCCCACATTCCAGTCAGATACACCAGCACCGTCTATCATCCACTGCAATAAAACAAAAAATTGATATCCCACAATAAAAGATAAAAATTGAGGTACAATACCTGCCTGGCAATATGACTCATGGTAATGCCATATTTCCTCATAGTGTTCTGGCCCCTGTAGTCAGGAGGATTTCCTATTTCATATGTTGATGTTGCTGCACTGTCTATCCTCCACTGGAAAAGATACAAGCAGCATGCAGTTTTTTTTTGCTATTCATGCACTAAAATAAACTAATGCAATTGATATTAAAAATCCACAATGCAAAAACTTCAATGCAGCATTTTCCCTAGTTTTGACAAAAATACAAAGTTTGTTAGCGAATAAAAACAAAATTGCATATTTTTAGTTCAGGACCTTAAATAAAAATTTACAATTTAATTTAAAAAAAATATACAGAACCCCCCCTAATTGTAAATCATTAATATTTTCAAATTTGGACATCTTTTTCTATCTTTCAGGCAACTCAGAAGTGACCCAATAACAATAACTATCCATCCCAAGACCTCCATGAACAATTCATCAGGCATTTCTGATAACATCTACAGAAACCAAACTGCAGACTTTACTTTCCAATCTAGCAGTTACCATCAATCTATGGTTTAGTATTCTATCAAGTTTATACTTCCAAAAGAAAATCTAGTATCAGATTCACTTTAAAGTCATTCAGTGATACTCCCAAACATTTTCACCCTTGTTGAATGTACCTTATTTTTGTACTGTGAAAGCAAATGTGTAACTGATAAGCAGCTTCGTAGCAATATAGCAATATATGCAATATAAAAGGCATTGACAAAAGTGCAGTATCTAATAATAAAAATATTTAGCCCTGGGTATTTTTTGTGGTTGTTTGAATAAATCATGTTTGGAGATGAGAATAAAAATCTTCTGAGATTTTGGGGAAACTAACCATCAAACAATCTACCTGTTAGCATCATAGCTAACATATTATATGTTAGCAGTTGAAAATTGTTTTCTTCCTGAACATATTGGGCATTACAGTGAAAATGTGAGACCAACCATGATACTACTCCTGATATTTGCAGATATAATGTATGCAGGGACACAGCAGACCCTACCCCTGGGGTAAAATCATAAGATTTTATAATACAGAAGGTGGCCATTTGGCTCACCATGTCTGTGCTGGCTGGCTTATCAAGACCAATCTTTTGAGACCTATTTGGCTGGCTTTCCCCATATCCCTTTAAGGTTACTCCTGTTAGGTATTTATTGGGTCTAAAGTTAAATTCACCTATATAGATTCAGCTTGAGGTATTAAAGTATAAGTGACAGATTTAAAATATGTTCTGGATTTGCTTATTTATGAAAGAATGCTCCATTAAATCAATCTGTCAAATAAACATTTCAAGAGAAAGAGAAAACAAGGCTTACTTTGTCAACGACACCTTGGTCTGTTGCCAGCTTCCTGAAGATTGCTTCGGCTATTGGAGACCGGCAAATGTTACCTTTAAAAAAAATCAAAAGCTTAAAACATGCTTTTATATCACTTCTCTTACACATTCTAAAATGTATTGTAAGTGTAGAGTAAGCTCTTATCTAATAGTATACCACTTGTGTGAAATTCTTGTGGTTTACAGGCCCACAATAGCTCAATATCTACTCTGTTAAAATTAAACTTGACTAACACCTAGCTTGCAGAAGGGAGATAGAACCTTTTAAATGGAAGTGTACTTCTTAAGAGGGTGACATTTTCACCTTTTGATCTTTTGCTCAGATAAAAGTGCATAATAACCCCAAAACTACATGTGAGAATTTCCACAAACCCAATTTTATTTGTGGAACAAATTTTTTTCCCCTTTCTTAATGCATTCGATTTTTTTTCTGTCTGCTGTTCTTTGGCGCCAGTCACCCTTCGGTTCCTCTCAACTGACCAATATTCATATGTGAGCCTTGACAGTGAGTGTTTGCAGATGATTCAACCAGAGTTGACAGCACAGCTGAGCCCAATCTTGTCCTCATGTGACATACATGCAACTCCATCGGAGGTTGCTGGATAACCATCAGACGCAGGAACCCGGATTGATTTCTCCTAGTCAATTACTGTGCCCCACTGCAGAGATTAGCTGACAGCACAGGACCGGAGATAAAACTTTTCCCAATCTATATACTCAGCTACTTCATGAATAAACTTACTTAGCCAAGGGAGTTTAAGTACTGATATCCTAAACACAGCAAAATGAATTAAACACTGCACTGTCCACAATGTTTTGGCACAAGTTGAAGAAATTGAAATTGCAAAATTGAAAAACTCTTGTAGAAATTCATAATAAATGAACCGTCTAGTTGACAGTTCTCAAAACTTCTAACTTGTGATAATTGCAAATATGCCATTACGCCATCAGCAATATGTTTGATGTCAAGGAGAGAAACAGGGAAAAAATAAAGTCAACTGTGATCTTTCAACAGATCTGGTAAAATGTGCAATATTAATCATCATCCTTGCATTGGATATAAAGCCTCATCATTTCATCGACATATCTCAAAGTGCTTCACATAATATACTGGTAAAGTGGATTGACTTCATGGGCAAAACATTAAACTATACAAGCAAAGCAAACACTACTATAGTTTTGTACTATCAAACAGTCCCTCAATGAGTCTGGTTGCATAAAAGTTAATGCCAAAACTACACTGCAGAGTTGAGTCTTATTACACTGTTGACCAGGATCTTGCTCAACCTTGTTTGAATTTCAGGCTCAATTCCACCAACTACACTCTGAACTGTACCCAATGGCTAGCATTTCATTCCAATGCACAATTAATTTAAGAATTGAAAATACCATCTTAATGATCATTTTGCTGCCAGCCTCCACACCTGCACCACCACCCCTCTTACGCCTGCACTTTGCTGACTTTTGCAATTGCCTGTTTTAAACTGCTTTTGACTACAGAACGTTTTATTCATATCAAATCTTGATTGTGAATATCACAAATTGAATTACATTGTGTAGTATTATTGGAATTCAATTTTGTTAAAATTATTCCATACATAGAAAGCAATCCTTAATATAGGACTGTCAATTCTGCCTTTCACGGTTTCACATTATTGCAAGATGCCTCTGGATTAATGTAGAAATAAAAAGAATTACAGTGCAACAAGTCTGTGCATGGGAATCACACAGAGGGATCAGATGAGACCTTGGGTGCCCATGACATGTCAGAAGTGATAGATGTGCAGGAGCTGGGCGCTGTGGGACAGTGCAAAGGCCGACTCTGAGAGCTTGGGGCTACCAGAGAAGGGGAGGAGCGAGTGTGCAAACTGGCATAACAACTGGTGGCAGAGCATTTTGTTCTCCACAATGGACTCTGAAAATTAAGACTAGATATTTTATTTGGGGAAGTCTTAAACTGTTTTCTCCAAATTACTCTTCTCCTTCAACCTTCGTCGACTTCAGACCCACAGTGTTGCTAAACACAAAATCATCTATCCTTAAAAAGTTCTTTGATGGCTGAATGGATAATTTGGTGTGGTACAATATTATAAAAAGCAGTATATCGAAAAGGCTCAAATTGGCATCAAAGACCCTGAGTTAAAGAATTGGAGGGGAGGGACAAAATCAGCTTTCCTTATTTCTAACAGGGCATGCTGCTGGTCATTGCTTCTACATTTATTACACATTGCACAGCAAAATGGTCAGCTCCATCAGTACTTCAAAATGCCAACTGGAGTATGGGAAATCAAAAATTCTGACTTCTTAGTTATCAGGTTTCTGTCAATATCTGCATTCCCATGTATGCGCAGCATACAGAAAGTAACGTTGTTGAGCAATCCAGAAGTCAGCCATTTTGGCTTCCAGTGGGTTTCCCGGCAGTTTGAAGCATCGATGGAACCGCTCCATATATTTTGGATAAGTAAATGTTGGTGTACACACAACTATAAACTATCCCATGTTACAAAGTTTATTGTAATGCAATGCATTACTAATCACTCAATTCAAAAAGGCTGCTGTAAGAAGAATCGCTTTTCAAGAAAACAAATAATACTTGCATTAGTTATAGTACAGTATCTATGACAAATGTCTCAAACCATTTCACAGATAATTGCTATCAACTGCAGTCAATAGCAATATGTTCAGACATGTACAATTCAAAATTGAAGCTACTGAAGTACAGTAAAGATGTATGTATACACACTGCATTCTAAACTTCAGTGCATCAGTTACAATTACTTTTAACCAGGTAAAATAAAGTGGAACAATTCAATATGTTATATAGCTTTGACAGGAGGGGGGCGGGGGGTCTCAAAACATTTAAACACATACAATGAAAGGGAAAAAGACCTCAACAGAACAGACCAGAAAAATCAGCAAAAGGATACACTGAGACCAATGGAGAAACACAGGTAATTAACACTTTATGTGTGGTTTACACTGTGTTTCTGTGGTGAAGGACAAAGCATAAATCGAGGTTCAGAAACATTAACTGAAAGTCAAGAACCAACTTTCGCAGGTGGTTTTGGCAGCATGTCAATTCACACAGTGCAGGTCAAATGCAGTTGGTGAAAACTGACTTCAAACGGTCTCTTGAAAAGCTTATTCACCATCCAATGGATCTCAAAAATTTGAAAAACAGCAATATTTTAATGCCATTAAAGAGAAAATCCACAATTCCATAGCATAAAATTGTGGATTTTTTTATAGTTACAATCATTGATCCTTTCTTACCATGGTAAATTGCCTTATCTACTTTATATTAAAATGAGTGACACATAGCTAGAAAGCTGAAGAAAATCGCTATTTGTTGGTTAGGACGTCGAGAGAAACTCCCTTCTCTTTTCGAATAGTGTCATGGGATCTTTAACGTCCACCTGAACAGCAAGATAGGACCACGGTTCAACGCCTCTTCCAAAGAACAGCATCTCTGACGATGCAGTGCACTACCCTGTCAGGGTGGACTGTGAGTTCAAAGTCCCAACATAAGGCTTGAACCCATAACAATCTGACTCGGAGGTGAGACTGGCATCAACTGAACTAGGCTGGCACAGCAATATGACATGTTGCTAAAAGTAAAGTCTTCTTGATTTAAATAATTTTTAAAAAATTTGGTCATTCAATCCACAATTGTTTGCGGGACACTGCTGTACGCAATTGGCTTGCCTTGTTTCACCCACAAAATATACAGTCAATTCACTTTACATTACAGTATATGGAGTCCTGTAGCTCAGTGATGAGAACGCTCGCCTCACAAGCAGACATGTGGGTTCGATTCCCGGCAGGGCAAAACGTTGGGCAAGTTTCCTTACTCCACACGCCTGCCTGTTTACCTAGCAGTAAGTCGGAACCCGATTGTTAGTCGACTGGTGGATCGCTTTTCTGGGGGTAATAATTCCTTCAATCTTTTTAAAAAATAATAAATTGGTCACTCAATCCACGACTATTTGTGGACACTGTGCAATTGGATGCCGTGTTTCGCCCACAAAATATAGTCAATTCACTTTCCAGTATAATCTGTGAAGTGCTTTGAGATGTCTCAAAGACATGATAATGCGTTATATCAAATGCAAGGATTATTATGTTATTTATAATATCTTCCAGCGCTACCTCAACATTAGTCTCAACAATAAAAAAACCTGGACCTTGTTATCGTGCAGGAATCTAAATAATATGCAGAAGTTAATGCCCAAGCTTCACACCCAGCTTTTTAACACAACCCTCCCCCCCTTAAATGATGTTGGCACTTAGCCCCTTAAACACCAACTTACATTACATAGCAACATTCAAGCAAAATAATGTCTCAAGCACTTGCCAAATACTGTGATTTTGTTTTGGTCAGCTGGGTGTTTTACATATGCAGAAATCCATCACCACGCTTAAGAATATCCAAACTAGACAGAATTCCACATACGCATGCCATCTGCGTATGGAAATGTTCATGTCTGGAGTTGGAATGTACACTCTATTCCTGGAGGGATATCCTGCTTACCTAATTTGAGAGTATTAGGAACAGTGCCAAGCCTAGCGACCTGCTGCAAATTAACCAGTTAAGATCTTACAACTTGCCATTGAGAGCTTGTCCAGCAGGAGCCAAATAAATAATAATAATCGTTGCCTTATCACACCTTCGAGACATCTCAAAGAGCTTTACACAATGTATAAGAACATAAGATATGCTAGACGAAAAAAGACCAAGGTTCGGCTAGTTCGCCTTCCACCTTCCTGGTGGTTGCATGCACATATGTCCCGAATGCATGCACATGTCCTGAACATTGCTGTCCAAAGCCAATTCCGAAGCCATTTTTGTACGAATTATGGAAAAGCGGTTTCCAAACCAACCCCTTCCCAAATGACCTGTCTGCCCTTGTTATTATGCAATATTTGGGATCCAAAAAATCCCAATCCATCTTATAACGAGACTGGTAGCTGGTTTCACTGTGTATGAGCACAGCCAACCACTTTCCCCCTGCTCAATGGCCACTTCCAGTGCTAATAGTAAAATAATTTCTGCATCAGCAGCAATGTTAGTTACTACTTGCAAAAGCAGGTAAAAACTGAAAGGATGCTTGGTCACACAGCGTTAATTCCTTGGCTGACAACTGCTGTGGACAATAACAAATTACATTTGTATGGCACCTTTCACGTCAAGAGGACGTCCCAAAACCCTGGACAGTCAGGGATTTGGAAACGGGCTGGGGGTTGGGATTAGGAGTGCAGGTAGGTGGCTGAAAGCGCGTCGAAGAGGAGGGTCTTGAGATGTGCCTTGAAGGAGGCAAGGGATGGAGCAAGGTGAAGGGACTGTTGGATCAAGTTCCAAAGGGTGGGGGCATAGAAGCTGAAGGTCCGACCGGTGATGGTGGAGCAGGTCAGAGACTGCTGAGCAGAGGGAGCGAACAGGTTGATATAGGGTTAGCAGGTCACAGAGGTAGGAAGCAGCAAGGCTGTGGCCACCTGAATTATATTTAGATTTTCCAACAAAGGGCAAAAAATGGGCTGAACCATGACAAGTTGATCATGGGGGAAGGGTGGTGTAGGGGTGGGGGAAGGCAGAGAGGTGAGAGGGAGACCAAAGGCATGGTTGAAGAGAAGGGTCTTAAGATCAGCCTTGAAGGAGGAAAGGGAGGAAGCGAGGCGAAGGGACCGTGGGATGAAGTTCCAGAGTGTGAGGGCAGAGAGGCTGAAAGCCTGGCCACCGATGGTAGGGCGGGAGACATGGAGCAGGCCGGAGCCCGCTGAATGGAGGGAACGGGAAGGTTGGTAGGGAGTCGGCAGGTCAGAGAGGTAGGAGGGGGCAATGCCATGGATGGCCTTCAAGGTGAAGACGAGGATCTTGAACTTGATCCTCTGGGGAATGGGGAGCCAATGGAGTCGGGCGAAGGTGGGAATGATGAGGTCATGGAGCCTGGTGCGTGAGAGTACACGAGCTGCAGAGTTTTGGATGATCTGCAGCTTGTGAAGGAAAGAGTTGAGAAGGCCGATGAGGAGGGAGTTCCAGAAATCGACGTGACGAATGTGTGAGTGAGGATTTCGGCAGCCTAAGGGGTGAGGCCCTCCTTCAGGACGTGATGTTGGACAGGCGTCAGGACGTCAGTAGTCCTGGAGTTCAAGGTGGAGTCAGAGAGTTGGGTGTCATCCGCATACATGTGGAAATTCACCCCATGTCTGTAGATGATGTCACCAAGGTGGTGCAAGTAGAGGGTGAAGAGGAGGGGACCAAAGATAGAGCCCTGAGGAACACTGCACAAGACGGTGCATGGGCTGGAGGAGAAGCCGTTCTGCCAGGACGAAGTGGAGGCGTGAAAGGTAGGACCTGAACCAGTCAGGGACAGAACCTTGAAGGTTGAGGTGGGAGGAGAGGCGGTGGAGGAGGTTTGAGTGGTCCACGGTGTCAAAGGCGGCGGAGAGGTCGAGGAGGATGAGAGCCAGAGGGAGCCCTGGTCACACATGGTCAGGATGTTGTTTGTGACCTTGACCAGAGCAGTTTCGGTGTTGTGGGCAGCACGAAAACCCAATTGGAGGGGATCATGGAGGGAGTGAGAGGAGAGAAAAGAGCGAAGCTGGGAGGCAATGGCTCTCTCAAGGACCTTGGATAGGAAGGGGAGATTTGAGAAGGGCCGGTAGCTAGATAACTGTGATGGGTCGAGGGAAGGTTTCTTCAAGGTGGGTGTGATATTGGCTGTTTTGAGGGGTGAAGGATCAGTGCCAGATGACAGGGAGAGGTTAATGATATCGGTGAGTAGTGGGGCAAGGAGGTGGAGCTGGGATTTAAGGAGAGGGGTAGGGATGGCGTCGAGGGAGCAGGTGGTGGATTTCATGGAGGTTACCGTGTTGAAGAAAGAGGAGGGGATGACAAGTTCAATGGTGTGGAAGGAGGGATGGATAACTGTCGGATGGGTAATTGTGTGGGGTGGGGATGGGAAGGGGGTGGAAGTTGGGAGGGCAGTGGCAGCTGAGCGGATTCCCTCGATTTTGGACTCGAGGAAGTCCAGCATTTTCTCGCAGTGGGCGTCAGAGGAAAGTATCTGCGAGGCGTGTCGGGGAGGGCGGAGGAGCGGTTGGTGGTGGAGAACCGGAGCCTGGGGTTGCCCTTCGCCTCCAGGATTAACCTGGAATAGAAGAATGATTTGGCAAAGGGGGTGGGGTGGGGGGGAGAGCAACATCGGGGTCTTGAGGAGCAACAAGACATTTGTGGAGAGCCTTTCACGTCAGGAGGACGCCCAAAAGCGCTGAGCGGCGCCATCGGGTGTCAATTCCTCCCCAATGGGGGGGGGGGAGGGGGGGAGACGGAAAGGGGCCGAACAGTGTCTCGGGGCTCTTGGGGCCCAATGTGGAGGAGGCCGCCCGGCGTTCCCCTCTCACCCACGTGGAGGAACGCCAAATCCCCGCCACCGTCCATGGACAGAGAGAGAGAGAGGGAGAGAGGGAGAGAGGGCCCACACCCACCCACGTGGAGGGCCGCCGTCGGCCGGACTCCACGTAGAGGCCGCACTGACTTACCGCGCGCGCGCCCCTCCCTCCCCACCCCCCGGGGCCCCGGCGGAGGACTCCGCACCGACAAACGCCTTATTATACAGACATAACAGAGGAGGAGAAAGGGCGCCGCGTTTCCTCTCTCAGTCTCCTCCTCCTCCTCCTGCTCCCGCTTTCCCCCGAGGCGGGCGGCTGGTTGGTTACCTAAACAGACGAACAGAACCGACTTGTTCACGGCGGCCATGACAGACAGACAGACAGACGGACGGACGGCGGCGGCGGCGGAGGAGGAGGAGAGGAGCCGAGGGGGGAGTGGGCGGAGCTGTGTCCTGGTCACGTGGTGCGCTCCCCGCGACGTCACTGCCCCCTGCGGCTGATTGATTGACAGGTGCCGCTCTGATCACGTGGGTGTGTCTCTCGCTGCACATTTCCGCTCTCACACATGTCGACTATTATCATTATTACTATTATTTATTCTGTTACATGTCTCGTGAACGAAGGGGGTCCCGTCCTGTCCTGTCAATGGGGAGGGGAGGGGGCGGGGCGGGGGCGTGTGCAACAAACGGTGGCGAGTCATGAACAAGGTGGAAGTTTCTGGAAGAGTCGCCCATTGTTTTGTTTGTTTGGGGGGGAGGGAGGCCATTGGACAGCATCAGGGAGTGGGGCTCCCTCCCTCCCTCCCTCACCCTCCCTCCCTCCCCGGACTCCCTCACCCTCCCTCCCTCCCCGGACTCCCTCCTCCCAGGTAGGGCTTGAGTCAGGAAGGGGTTGGCCAGGTACGTGAGAGAGAGAGAGAGAGAGAGAGAACAGGTGAGGGAGAGAGAGAACAGTTGAGGGAGAGAGAGAGAGAAAGAAGGTGTGCGAGAGAGAGAGAGAACAGGTGAGGGAGAGGAGGGAGAGAAAGAAGGTGTGTGTGAGAGAGAGAGAGAGAGAACAGGTGAGGGAGAGGAGGGAGAGAAAGAAGGTGAGAGAGAGAGAACAGGTGAGAGAGAGAGAACAGGTGAGGGAGAGGAGGGAGAGAAAGAAGGTGTGTGTGAGAGAGAGAGAACAGGTGAGGGAGAGGAGGGAGAGAAAGAAGGTGTGTGTGAGAGAGAGAGAGAGAACAGGTGAGGGAGAGGAGGGAGAGAAAGAAGGTGAGAGAGAGAGAGAACAGGTGAGAGAGAGAGAGAGAGAGAACAGGTGAGGGAGAGGAGGGAGAGAAAGAAGGTGAGAGAGAGAGAGAACAGGTGAGAGAGAGAGAGAGAGAGAACAGGTGAGAGAGAGAGAGAGAACAGGTGAGAGAGAGAGAGCAGGTGAGAGAGAGAGAGAGAGAGAAAAGGTGAGAGAGAGAGAGAGAACAGGTGAGAGAGAGAGAGAGAACAGGTGAGCAACTCCACACTGACAGCAGCACTCTCTCCACGTCCCAATTCAAGATCATTCCTGCCTTTGTAAAAGTAAGTTAATGGCCCTTAAATTGTTCTATGTTTCACAGTTGTATTGCAGATCCGCTTTTTTTTTGGTGCAAATTATTATAATAGCGATCAATTTGCCAACACAATGCACAGTCACTACACTTCACCCCAACCCCAACAACAAATTACATATGTATAAATGCCTTTCACGACAGGAGGACGTCCCAAGGTACTGTGAACTAAGCGCTTGGCGACATCCTCCTCACTTGACCTGACTGGCTTTATAGGAAATGCAAGGATTATTATTGTTATAAGTTGCTCAGTATGGAAAGAATCGATGCATTTCTTACTACATTGTCTCTGCTGATAATTATCAAGCTCTGGGTGGAATTGGGTGGATCATGAAAGGAGGATAAATATAGTCACAAACTGATTTCTTCCAAGTAAATGTAAAGTTATGCAAATTGGAACAAGAAGAGTGAGGAAGTTGGTAGGTGTGTGACAAGCCCAGTGAACAAATCAGACATTACACTGGCAGCTCACAAGACCAGGAACTCTTATTTAAGTCAAGAAAACTGCTGTTTACAAAGGTAGTTTTTACAAAATCATGGAACTGTTTATTTTAAATTATTATTTGTTTATTATTTCTTAATACTATTAATACTATTATGCTAACTAATTTATAACAAATAATTTGGGGAGTGGCGGAGGAGAGCAGTACGTTCAATATTGTAACATTTGTTGTTCATTATAATAATCCTTATAAATAAAACCCAAAATACTGCAGATGCTGGAAATCTGAAACAAAACCAGAAGTCGTTGGGAACACTCAACAGGTCAGGCAGCATCTATGGAGAAAGGAATGTGAGTGAACGTTTCGGGTTCTGATGAAGGGTCGTGGACCTGAAACATTGACTCATTTTCCTTTCTGCATAAATGCAGCCTGACCTGCTAAGTGTTCTCAGTGACTTCTGTTTGTGTTTCATAATAATCCTTATGTTTGGTATAGTGCCTTTCACCATAAGGAGGAATCTTAAAATGCTTAACAGCACTTCATATTGTAAAGTGTAGTGATTATGGATGTGTAAGCAAACAAGAGAGCCGATTTGCACACAGGAATGTCTCACAAACAGCTATGAAGCTCTCTGGAACGCCACCCTGCCCAAGGAGCTCTATATAAATGCTAGTTATTATTGTTGAAGTGAATGACCAATGTTATTTGGTGAATTGTTGGCCAGGACAGTGTGAGAAACTCATTTTTTTTAGGTAGTGCCAAGGGATCTTCAACCTCAACCTGAACAGACAGTCTGGTCCTCAGTTTAATGTTTCAACCTAAGGCTGAATTACAAATTACCAAACTGTGTGAATGGGTGTGGGGCAAGGTGAATTATAAGAGGAGGATGAACAGAGTAGCGTCTTAGGACATCCTCCTGGCGTGAAAAGCGCTATATAAATGCAATTTGTTGTTGTTGAGTAACAGATTCATTTCTTGATATTGATGTAAAGTTATGCTTATTGGAATAACAGCAGTGAGGAAGTGGACTGAGAAGGAGGTGGAGGTAGTGAGAGGCCAGGTGAACTCGGCTAATATTGCACTGGCATGCTTCCAGAAGAAAAACATTTATTTTTGTGTGTCAGCTTCATTCACAGGTAACTACTTTTGAGTGTAATGATTGTTTTTCTTGGCAATCATGGCTGTATTCACAAATATTTTAACAGATATTAACAGATATTATCTTTGACTAAAAAATAAAAAAAAAACACAAATAAAGGAATATTGTATTTGTGGTATTGTGCTATGGTTAGATACATAGCACTATACCACAATGTGGAGTGATGCAACTTCAATTGCTGTTAACTTCCACCTTCCAGCTGTTCATGTGAGGAGACAACAACAACAACTTGGATTTATATAACGCCCTCCACGCCGGACGGCATCTCAGAGCGCTTAACAGTAAGGAATCCCGGGGCCGAGCCATGGGGAGTGGGAGGACGGTGACCAAAGACCAGGAAGTTGTCTCTCTCTCTCCCCACATACAGAAGCAATATGCTTGTGGACTGTTTGACCTTTAGGTGACTAGCTAACTGTGGCATTGCCAATGACTGGGAATGTATAACCCAACACTATATTTGCCACAGCTGACACATGACACTGAGATGGGAGAGAGAAAATAATGCATTAATTTAAATATGATCAAATTAAATGTAATATGACGGGAGAAAGGTCAAGTGAAGAAGACATTTGAGAATTATGTTCTCTCAGTTTTTGTTTTTTATGCTTTTTTTTGTTTCAGAGCTTTTCTTTTTCGTGTTCACCTTCTGACTTTCCGGCATAATCTCCTGATTTGTTTTGTTTTCTGTGTGGCAATGTGCGTAAATCTCCCCAATGTTTTCACTTTTTATTTTTTAGTTGAAGATAATATCTGTTAAAATAATTCTCTCTCTGCCCGTTGTCCTTATTTTTGTTTGCTTTTCCACGCTCTCATTGCTTTCTTATCAGATTTGAGGCAACATTCACCGTTTAGCTTGTGTTTTCTGTTATCCTGATGTGCTCTTTAATGTATTATTTTTTAAAAAAAGTATCTTTTGGCTCACAGTAACAATCTCCCAACATTTCATGACTTCTGCTGGTTTGGAAACATACTTCAAGATCCAATTGAAAAAGACATATTCAGTTCCACTTTGAAGTTTCTTGCTATGTGCTACAGTGGTATCTGTTACACATGCCTGTCACCCTTTTAATCAACATAATCACTTGTATTTCCAAATCACTTCTGTTCTGTGAACTCTTGAATTTGGCACAAAGACACTTGCTTATCTGAATTCAGAATTTCCAAATCCTTCTTATCATAATTAGCCTGATCAAGTGTTCTCTGTTTGAAGAGAGAAGAGTCCGATGATTCCAAACCTATCCTCATATCTCTTCCTAAATTAAGTTTGAACTTCTCTACACTCGCTCCAACAACAGTTTTGAATGTCCACTGTTCTTCCGACTACAGAATTTCGTTGTTGAAGTAATGAGACCAAAGTTGCACATGGTACTTCAGGTGTGGTCTCACGAAAATCATAACATATGATCTTAAAATTACTTCTCAGTTTATTTGCTGCAATATTAAGTATACATCAAAACATTTAATAGCATGCAACAATACAGTGTAGGTTAATATAGTGCGTTTCACATCAAAAGGATGTCTCAAAAGTGTTTTACACAGCTGACTGTGTTTTAGAGCTGAAGGGGGTTTGTTGACGACAATAAAATTACATTTGTGTAGTGCCTTTCATGTCGGGAGGACATCCCAAGACGTTGGGCAGACAGTTTTAGACCCGGGTTGGGGTTCGGGACGGTGGAGGGCAGGGTGGGAAACAGGGAGATTGAAAGCATGGTTGAAGAAGAAGGTCTTGAGATAGGTCTTGAAGGAGGCAAGGGAGGAGGTGAGTGGGAGGAACTGCGGGATGGAGTTCCAGAGGGTGGGGCAGTGAGGCGGGGGACTTGAAGCAGGCCGGAGCCTGCTGAGCGGTGGGAGCGAGCAGGATGGTAGGGAGTTAGGAGGTAGCAGAGGTAAGGGGAGCAAGATCATGTAGGGCTTTGAAGGTGAGGACCAGGATCTTGAATTTATCCTCTATGTGACGGGAAACCTGTAGAGTCAATCTAGGATGGGGGTGATAGGGTCAATGAGGCTAGTGCGGGAGAGGACGCAGGCTGCAGAATTCTGGATGGTCTGCAGCCTATGGAGGGAGGTGTTGGGGAGGCCGACAAGCAATGGGTTTGCATAGTCAAGCCTTGATGTAATAAAGGCATGTATGGGCATTTCGGATGAAGTGGAGGCAGTGTGAGAGGTACAATCTGAACCAGTCAAGGACAGAGCCATGAAGGTTGAGGTGAGAAGAGGTGTTAGAGAAGGATAGTGGTCGACGGTGTCGAAAGCAGCAGAGAGATCAAGGAGGATGAGGAGCCAGAGGGAGACCTGGTCACAGATGGACAGAATATCATTTGTCACTTTGACCAGGGCTGTTTCTGTGCTGTGGGTGGCACGGAAACCCGATTGGAGGGATTTGTGAACGAGTGGCGGGAGAGGAAGGAGCAAAGCTGAGAAGCGATAACTTGCTTCAGGACCTTGGAGAAGAAAGGGAGGTTGGAGACGGGGCAGTAGTTTGAGAGTAGAGATGGTTTCAGGGAGGGTTTTTTAAGGATAGGGGTGATGACGGCAGTTTTTAACGGGGTGGGAAAAAGTACCAGAGGACAGGGAGAGGTTTATGATGTCAGTGAGTAGAGGGGAAAAGAGATTGAGCTGGGAGATAAGGAGAGAGGTAGGGATGGGTTCGAGGGAGCAGGTGGTCGGTTTCATGTGGGTTGTAGTGATGAGAGAGAGGGAGAGACAGGTTTGAAGGTATGAAGGGAGGGATGGGTTGGAGTGGGAGGGGAAGATGGGGAGGAGGTAGCAGATGGAATGGCAGAGGCAGCTGATCGGACTCCCTCGACTTTGGATTCAAGGAAGTCCAGCACCACCTCGCAGTTGGCATTTGAGGTGAGGGAGGGTGGAGGAGCCGGTTCGTGATGGAGAAAAGGAGCCTGGGGTTGTCCTTGGCCTCCAAGATTGTCTTGGAGTAGAACGACGATTTAGCGGTTGCAAGGTCGGAGCGGTAGGATTTGATATGGTTCAGGCAGACCTGCTAGTGGACTATTAAGTTTGGTTTAAGCCAGGTGTGCTCAGCGGCATGCACCTGTGCTTTAAGGGAGCGAGGTGGCTGGCGTCTCATAGTGACTTACGTGAACAGGAAACAGTGAGGGGAGCGAGGGAATCGAGAATGAAGGAGAGGGAGCTGTGGAGAAGAGTGACCGAGGAGGATAGTTCATTGTGGGAGGAAGCCCAGAGGGGAAGGAGTTCAAGTTGCTCCAAGGCAGTCGAGAGGGAGGTGGGGGGGGATTTTTAGGAGATGGATGTGCGTTGGGTGGCGGTGGGGAGAGCAATTGAGGAGTTAAGAAAGATGAATTGATGGTCCGAGATCACTTTGTCGATAATGGTGAGGTCCAAGATGGTGAGGCCCCGAGTGATCACCAGGTTGAGGGGGTGACTGCAAATGTGAGTGGCGGAGTGGATTTGGAGGGAGAGATTGAGGAAGGAGATAAGGAAGGACATGTCAGCAGAGGTAAGCAGGAGGGGTGAAGTTAAAGTTGAAGTCATTTAGGATAAGGAGGTGTTCGGAGCAGAGGGAGAGGGAAGATAGGAGGGTGGAGATTTCGGGGATGAAAGTAGGGGAAGGCTTGGGGGGGGCGATAGATAAGGAGTTGAGGGAAAGGTTGGAGGGGTGATAAAAGGTAAGGTGCTCAAAGGAGGGGAAGATTCCAAAGGGGACTAGTCAAATACCTGAGAATACTAAATTGATAGTTTTAATAAACTGTCCACCAAAACCTTAAGATCTCCAGCCTAATCTGATACCACAAGTACATTCCTTATCAGTACATGTTCACACTATCTGCTGAATTTTCTTACTTTACAGTTTTCTGTATTTAACTGTTTCACCTAGAACCCTACAGTACTTAGTACTTTACACTTGTAATCTTTCTCTAACTTTAGTATTGAATTAAAATGAGACTTCACTAATTATTTAGTTAGTATTCAAACCCTGCTGAAGAAAGAGATTAAGCAGAAAGTAATATAATATTACAATAACTTCTATCAGGAGGATTTGGTAGAGTGATAGATTCTGAATGCAGTGATTAGTGAATGCTCATCTGGGACTCAGCTTCATTTCCACTCCCAATTGCAACTGAATGAAAAAGGTATCAAGTCTATGTGAGTCAGCTGCATAAACTGCACAGAAGGTATAGTGCAGAAATTGTCCAAACATGTAATTTGTGCGCATCTGTGGCAAGTGCGTCAACACAGACACTAATTTGCATGGTGACTGAGAAAAATATATTAGTATGATGGAGTTTCCAGGTGAGATATTTAGGGGAGATGAAAATCTATTTGGATTTTCTTAAACTGGGTCAAAAAGATCATGCTGCAATAAGTTACACAGAATGTTCATTTAAGCTTCTGTCCATATGCTCTTTGAAAGAAGCAGTGCAGCGGATATCACACCAGTGACACTGAATTATAGGCAATCTTTCACTGTTGAAGAATAATACATTAATCACGTTGAGCTTAATTGATTTGGAATAGTTATTTGCATGATAAAGACCATGGATCTTGTCATCAATAGAGAGATGTTATGGGTGAATTTGGAGTTAAAAGCTGAAGCTGTATGATGGCATGATTCCACAGCCTGGTATAGAACTGAGCTGTTCAGGGCAGGAAGGTCCCAAATTAGAGACCCAGTTTTTGATGAGTTTCCTGATTTCTGATGGGTTAGCTCCGAGATGCTACCCTGTGGTGGGCGCTATATAAATGGAAATTACTGTTATTGGTGCAAAATTCACTGGTTACTTTCAGCTTGTGATGTGTGTAGTGGTGCCTGCCAGTGGTGGTGCGGGCGAGATGGGGGACGTGAAGCAGGCCGCAGCCTGCTGAGCGAGGAAGCTGGCAGGTTGGTAGGGTTTAGGAGGTTGCAGAGGGAGGGATGAGCAAGGCCATGGAGCGCTTTGAAGGGAAGGACCAGCATCTTGAACTGTGTCCTCTGTGATGGGAAACCAGTGGAATCGGGCGAGGATGGGGGTGATAGAGTGTTGGTGCGGGAGAGGACATGGGCTGCAGAGTTCTGGATGATCTGCAGCCTATGGAGGGAGGAATTGGGGAGGCCAACAAGCAGGGAGTTTGCGCAGTCAAGCCTGGATGTTATGAATGCGTATATCAGGGTCTCGGCGCCTGCAGTGTGAGACAGTGGTGGAACCGAGCGATGTTGCAAGATGGGAGAAGGCAGAGCGGGTCATGGCATGGAGGTAGAAAGGATAATTGAGGGTCAAACAAGACACCAAGGTTCCAGACTGGCTTCATCCATGGATATGCATAGACATACACATGGTGTGGAGTGGCAAAAGTCAAAGTGACCTCGATAGACTGCATTGTGCATATTGCTGGTACAAGGTGCTGGTAAGCTTCCTGCTGCTTGTTCAGCGAGGATAAATCTACCTGTCAAGACCTCGGAACATAGAAACATAAGAATGTAGTATCGAAATTCTGTGTGCATGATTAGAATACACTGTTTCAGTCCATCTGGACTGTCACAATTTAAAATATTCCGTTTTTCAAATTCACAAATCCCTCATGAAACACTTTGAGATGCCTTCATGATGTAATAAGGTGCTGTATCAAATGCATTATTAAATAGATCTAGTGTGCTCTTGAAATTCTTTGCATTAAGCTGTCTACTTGGGCAGGCACTTCCACATGTTGACCACCCCCTGCTTCAAGTAACAATTTAAATTTCCATTCCTCCTCCCACTTTAGGTTGTCATACTTAGCCAAATTGAAAATATGTTTGCGTCTAATTTCATTTAGAATACAGAAGACATTAGTATAATAATTTGCCTTTATATAGTGCCCTTCATGCAAGGTAGCATCTCAAAGCGCTTAAAAATTGCAGTTCTTGATTCCGAGCAAGACGAGGGGGGTGGTGACCATAGGTACAGTTGAAGAGGAAGATCTTCATGTGTGTTAATAATAGCAATAATCCTTGCATTTGATATAGCGCCTTATCACGTCTTCCAGACATGTCAAAGCGCTTCACAGAATATACTCTTGAGTGAATTGACGATATATTTTGTGGGCAAACTGTGGCAGCCAGTCGCACACAGCAGTGTCCCACAAACAGTCATCAGTTGAGTGACCAAATTATTATTTTTTTGAAGGGATTATTATCTCCGGAAAAGCGATCTGCCAATCGACTAACAACTGGGTTCCTACTTACTGCTAGATAAACAGAGTGTTTTGAAGACTAGCAAGATGGAGAGTTTGTAGTAGAAAAGCCCATATTTTCGGGGTGGAATGGCTGAAGGCACAACTGTTGATAATGGAGCGGAGGGTATCAGAGACGTGCAGGAGGGTGGTGTGAGCTGAGTGAAGGGGGCGGGTAAAGTGGGCATAAGCAGGTTGGAGAGGCAGGGAAGTGCGATGGAATTAAGTAATTTGAACACTTGAAATCAATCCGTTCTGCAGTAAATTAACTCAATCATTCTCAGCTTCTGCAATCTTTTCTCATAGCTCAACTGCTCAATCCGGTCTACCTATAAATGTTATCAAAATGATAATATGAAACATAACAATAATGTCTGAGTACTAATGTCACATATATCAACAACTTGAATTTTAAAACCTTACAAGCAGCTTTTTGTTAATAAATGACTGCTTTCTTTTCAGTGAATCCAATTCCATCCAACCTCAAGTCTGAATCCAAGAAGGCTGCAAAGATTTTGAGAGAATTTACAGAAATAACTTCAAGAAATGGACCTGATATAATCATTCCAGGTTAGTAAAATAGTTGTGCTAGTTAATTTGTTGTCTGTATTTGTTGATTTGTTGATGTTGCCTGTATTAGTGAAATAACAACAACTTGCATTTATATAGTGCCTCTTCTTGAAGCCATGCAGATCACCTGTATTGTAAATATTATGCAGATCTATTTAGGATTTCAGCTCATCTTCAGTGCCTTCCGACGTGAAAGGTGCTATGTAAATATAATTTGTTGTTATTGATTTCAACAGCAAAATAGAGTACAAGTTTTTTGCATTTCAAATTTTTTATTTGATTAATCCTATTATAACAACAACAACAAGATTCCATTTATAGAGCGTCTTTCACGTCGGGAGAACGTCCCAAGGCGCTGGACAGTTGGGTCAGGACCCGAGCAGGGGGGAAATGATCAGGGGGAGGGAAGGGAGGGAGCGAGGAGGGGTTAGAGAGTCGAGAGGGGAGCTTATCACGTGGGATAATGCCCCGGAGCGCTTGACAGTAGTGGAATCTGTACCCGAGCCGGGGGAGAGAGAGCAGGGAGGTGACCGTAAACAAGGTCAAAAGGGAAGATAATAATATAATAATAATCCTTGCATTTGATACAGCGCTTTTCACGTCTTCTAGACGTCCCAAAGCGCTTCACAGAATATACTGTAAAGTGAATTAACTGTATATTTGTGGGCGAACGCGGCAGCCAATTGCGCACAGCAATGTCCCACAAACAGTCATGGATTGAAAATGACCAATTTATTATTTATTTTTTTTGGAGAGATTATTATTAGGCGTGTGGAGTAAGGAAACTTGCCCAAGGTTTCGCCCTGTCTGGAATTGAACTCAGGTCTCTCACTTGCAAAGCCTTTCTCCTTTAGGCGGAATTTGAAAGTGGGGAGGGAAGGGGCAAGGTAGAGGGATTGAGAGGGAAGGTTCCAGAGTTTCAGGGCGTACAGCCACTGATGGTGGAGCAGAGGGAACAAGGGCTGAACAGGAGGCCGGAGCCAGCTGAGTGGAGGAATGGGAGGTCAGCAAATCGGATAGGTAGAGAGGTGCTAGGGCATGAAGGGATTTGAAAACGAGTGAGAGGATCTTGTTATAATACTGTATCTGCCTTTCAGCAACTGAGATTGGGATACTGTCCTTTTAAGAACTTGCTATGTGTGACCAACTTGGCAGATGATCACACACTATCTTGTATATCCAACTCGTTCACAGATGTACTCTAAGTTCTCTTTGTCATTTGACAGTTGCCTTTGATTAAAACATACATTGTTGACATTCTTCAAAGTATATTTACACTAGGAGTTTGAATTCAATTTACACTTATTTAAATATTATTATTAAACCAAAACCAAAGATTTACTTTATCTCAGCCAAACTTGATCTAATTATCCACAGAATTATTTTGAATGTACCATGTGTAACGTAAATTTATTATTCTAGCCTGACATGTACTGCCAAGAGGAATGGATCATATGATGTGAGAGAGGAATGGTATTCACACTAACCTGAAACAAATCAATTAGGATAGTGAAGTGGTAGTTTATTCATTTTGAACTGATATCACTCAAACAAAATTGTGAATATAAATGACCTGGACTTGGGTAGAGGGAGTACAATTTTCAAGTTTGCAAATGATACTAAGCTAAGAAAAGTAGTAAACAGTGAGGAGGATAGTAGCACTGCAAATTGGCATAGACAGACTGGTAAAATGGGCAGACACGGGGCAGATGAAGTTTAATGTGGATAAATGCGAAGTGACGCATTTTGGGTGGAAGAATGAGGAGAGGCAATATAAGCTGATGGTACAATCTTAAAGGGGTGAAGGAACAGAGAAACCTGGGGTTCATATAAGTAAGTATTTGAAGGTGGCAGGACAGGGAGATAAAGCTGTTAAAAAAGCATACGGGATACTAGGCTTTATAAATAGGGGCATTGAATACAAAAGTCAGGAAGCTATGATGAACCTTTATAAAATATTGGTTAGGCCTCAGCGAGAGACTGTGTTCAGTTCTGGGCCCCGTCCTTTAGGAAGGATGTCAAGGCATTGGAGAGGGTGCAAAGGAGTTTTGCCAGGATGGTACCAGGAATGAGGGACTTCAGTTATCAGGAGAGGTAGAGAAGCTAGGATTATTCTCATTGGAGCAGAGAAGGTTAAGAGGAGACTTAATAGAAGTTTTCAACATTATGAGGGGATTCGATAGGGTGAACAAGGAGAAACTATTTCTACTGGCGGGAGGGTAGGTAACCCGAGGACACTGATTTAAAATAGTTGTTAAAAGAAACAGACGAGAGGTGAGGAGAATTTTTTTCACACAGCAAGTTGTTCAGATCTGGAATTCATTGCCTGAAAGGGTGGTGGAAACTGACTTGATAACACTTAAGAGAGAAGTAGATAATTATTTTGGGAGATCAAGTTTGCAGGACTATGGGAAGAGACCAGGGGAGTGGTATTGATTTGGATAGTTCTTTTCAAACAGCATGCGCTGAATGGTCTCCTTCTAGTGCTGTATAATTCTATGATTCTATAAATTGTCAACAGTTGTCCATCTGCAAATACAAATTTACTACTTTGAATGCAAAATAGATCTATGGGGAACAGATTGAAATGAAGAAGATGGAGAAGTATTGCAAGTGTGTAACATTTTTTATGTTACTGTTTGCCCCTACCTTTCCCCTCAGGCCAACGAGACCCTCATTCATATCTTCATCACGTCCAGACTTGACTATGCTAACTCCCTGCTTGCCAGACCTCTCAACTCTTGCCTCCACAAGCTGAGATCTAATCAAAAATCTGCAATTCATGTCCTCTCCCGCATCGAGATTGGTGAGCTGATCACCTCCATTTTCTCTGGCTCCCCATCCCCCAAAGGATCGAATTTAAGATCCTTGTCCTCGCTTTTAAAGCCCTCCACAGCCTTGCTCCACCCTACCTGTGCAACTCACTAAAAACTTAACAATCTACTCGCTCCCTCCATTCTGTCTTTAAAGACCCCCTGAAAATCCTCTTTGATCGTGCCTCCCACTTCCACCCCACTTGCCCTTCGTCCCTCTTAACTTCACCCCCCCAATTTCGGGTGCAACCCTTGACTGTCCAGTGCCTTGGGACGTCCTTCGAATGTGAAAGGTGCTATATAAATGCAATTTGTTGTTTTTGTGGTAACGTACCAGACTCCAGTGGAACCTCGGGTGATGGGGGTCACAGTTTTGCACTCATGATTCCCCAACCAAGAGCTGTTTATCTGAGAATTCAACCATGGGAATTTGCCAAGCAAAAGATACTTTCCTACAGTAAGGGACGGCAGTGAGACAAAAACCTTTTAGTTTTACTCAACTTCTCTGTCTTAGTTTTAATTAAAACCTTTCACTTCTATTTATGAAGAGACAGGCCTGCCTTCCAATTCCCTTGCTTTCTCTCACTGGACAACAGGTGGCTGGTATTTCTGATTTCCAGCTCTGGTAACATCTCATAGTCCAAAATGCAGAGTAGCCAATGTGCAAGGTAAGGGAGAGGAGTGAAGCATGCTCTCCCCAGGCTTATAATGATAACAGGATGAAGAACACCGATTAATATTTCATTTTCTCTTGCCCAGCTTTAAATGTATCAAGTGAAATATAAAAAAGCTGACGAATAACTATAGTAAACACCAGAAAAAATAATAGAGGAGGAAATAAGATAATAGATTAACAGACAAATATGCATGGGCATGGGGAGAAAACGGTGAGATCATAGAGAACACGGAGTGCATATCCTAGACTAATAACCTCACTTAGAACATTTAAAGTAAATGTTAAAAGCAAATAATTTAAGAAATTCAATTCAACATAAATATTCATAGTATTCAAAGCATTGTAAAGTAAAGGTTTATGTGCGAGCAAATAATGATGGCAGGAATGAAAAGTAGTAGAATTTAGGGCTAAACTATATGTTTTACTCCTAGTCACAATCTTGACTTCATGAACTTTTGTCCTTGCATCCCTGACCAGCGTAGAGTTCGTAATGATTCATGATTCACCCCTCTTATATCCAACCCCTAGCTTGGGTATAAACCCTTGACTGTCCAGCACCTTGGCATGTCGTTTTGACATGAAAGGTGCCATATCAATGCAATTTGTGTTGTTGATGCTGTGTGAAGCTACGACTATGCTTTTCTGCATGAACCCCTACTTGTCTTTGGATGTTGAAAGGCTGCTCCCACTTATTGGCAAAACGACAGGGCATAAATATAAGATAGTTATTAGTGGATCTAATTGGGAATTTCGGACAAAATCCTTCATGCAGAGGGTGGTGAGATTGTAGAATTCTCTGATGGAAGTTGTGGTTAAACAAAAGCATCAATATATTTAAGAGAAAACGTGATAATAATAATCCTTACATTTGATGTAGTGCCATGTCGTCGAGATGTCTCAGAACACTTCACAGAATATACTGTAAAGTAAATTGACTATATTTTGTGGGTGAAAATGAAATTTTGCAGACATGAAGGAGAAGGGAATAGGGAGGTAGAGTAGAGGTGAATAGGAGGGTTGAGAGTTTGTGTTGAATTTGAATTTTGGATATTTACATTTAAATTATTTGGTGTATATACAGTCTACATTTTAAAAATTAAATCAATGAAGACTGTAAATATGCCATTACAGAAACAAAGTTAAATCACCTTCATTATTTCTCTGTTTTCAGAAGGGACTGTCCTTCTGCTATATTCATACATTCATTCATTTGCAACGATCCGGGGCATCCTCAAGAGTAACGTTTATTATGTTTGGAAATGTTTAAAATTAGGAAAAAATGTTTAAAAAAAACGGAAATAATAAATGGATAAGAATTAATCTTAAAAATATTAAGCAAAAGCAATGTTGTTTGTTTTAGTAGGGGAGACTATTCAGTGCCAAAAATAACTTTCCAATGTATTTCTCTTCGGGGAAACCGTATTGTCTTGTATTTTTTTAAAAAAAAGAAGTTGTGAAATTGCTTAGAAAAGCGTGGAACATCTTGGTAACAAACAGAAAGCGAACTTTGCTGAACTCCTCTGACCTAGTGGATAAAGGCATTGCAACATGCAGCATCAGGCAGCATGGACCAGAAAAGGAGGATTCAATCTGATCTGACCTGAGTGAAGTGAATTTCGTTACATCACCAATCCCCAACTGTTTCAGTCTATCCTTTGAATATGTTGTTCAAGTAATTATTCAGTTCCCTATTAGATGCTTTTTAGTTCTGTTTGATGCAATCAAATTCCATCCCATGCAATCATCGGTCTCAAAAGAATCTTCTAACCTCTCCCTTTACCTCTCCTTTTCTTCCCGTGATAACCCTCAATATATGGGAAACCACTTTTGGTATGTGCTCACTGATGATAAGTGGTGATATTTTTCTCTATTTACTTTTTTAAAAAAATGGAATTTTGGAAAACTATTTGATCCACTAAAAGTTGAAGGTTTTCAGGCTCCTCTTCATACCATAATCTTTCGGCCCATCCTAATGAATACCTCCTCTGTCCTCTCCATGGGTGTGATGGCCCTTCAATAATGGGACACTATAACTGTAGCTAACCAATGTCTTCTACAGTAAAATGTGTTAAAAGAAATTTGAACAATTCTAGTCTCCAACAGGTAGACTATGCTTTAGAATGGAACAGAGCTTGAGATTAAGTCCTCAACGAGGGTTTCTGGATAGAATGGCACCCCTGTGTGAGACACCTTCACAGTGGTGTCACACTGAGCTCCTTATGCACTGGAGAAGAATACAGATTAAAAAGGAGGGCGAAGATGTATGTGGCATTTACCAGTGAATCTAACAGCATTTTCGTAATGCACATCCGGGCAATGATTGGCTATCGTATCTGTCACTCATCAGATAGGGTTGGCTCTGGGCAACGATTGGCTGATGTGAGCTGTCACTGCGTAAGGGGTGCTATATAAATGCAAGTTGTTTTTATTGAAGTATTGAGAACCAATCACTGGGCGTTTGGGAATCTCTCATGAAGGCACTCAGGAAATTTCCTGATTTGCCATATAGCCAGTCTGCCCCAAATTGAGGGATTTGAGAAGGAAATAAGTGGAGAATTATGATCAAAGAGGTGAATAGTTTCTTTTACTCATTAGTTCTGGATTCTGTTTTAAATTGGGATGAAACTCGGATTGTCTCTGGTTTCTTTATCTTTTCACCCTGTATTATGACTCAGTATTTCTTTGTCCATACATTAATTTACAAAAATTGTGTTCATTTTACAGTTCACGTCATAGCTAAAGCACAAGGGCTTGCTATCCTGTCAGTGATTAAAGCTGGGTTCTTAGTAACTGCTCGTGGGGGCAGTGGAATTCTAGTAGGTCGTCTGCCAGATGGAAGTAAGTCATTTATTGGTTTTTTTAAAAAGAAGGTTGTGTTTTTGTTTGTGTTCCTGAAACATCACAGGACAACAGCACACACACAATTGTACAGAACTTGATTAACAAAATCTCTTGTCCTGGGATTCTCATGAAAAACAACTGTTCTCAGAAAAGAAATAATAATAATCCTCGCATTTGATATAGTGCCTTATGATGTCGTTGAGATGTCTCAAAGCACTTCACAGAATATACTTTTTTGGGAGGGGATTGTCAGCCAGGACACCAGGAGAAAGTCCCAAAATGGGGCTTGAACCCAAAACCTTCTGTCTCAGAGGCAAGAGTGCTACCACTACCCAGGCTGTTTTTTTAAATGATTTTAACTTGTATCTCATAATAGGGGAACTTTTCGAAGCAACCTGTTGAAGATATTTGGAATGCATAGATTTTATATGATTAGCTTGTCTATCACTTATTTTTTTCTTAAAACAGCTATGCATTTGACTTAATGAGAAGAATATTTACAAATTATTTGCATTTCTGAAGGGTTTATGGTCTAATGTAAATCAGAAAATCAAATGGCTAAACTTGAGATGCTTGCAATAGTAATAAAACAAGTTATTAGTCACAAATGAGCCTGTCACTCAAATCTGCCTTTGAGTCTTAGATGCTCCACTTCGCTGTTTTCAGCTGGGTTATTTGGAGTCCTGTAGCTCAGTGATTAGAGCACTTGCCTCGCAAGCGAGAGACCTGGGTTCGATTCTCGACAGGGAAACATTGGGCATGTTTCTTTACTCCACATGCCTCTGTTTACCTAGCAGTAACTAGGAACCTGGTTGTTAGTTGATTAGTGGATCGCTTTTCCAGGGGTAACGATTCCTTCAAAAAAATATAAAAATTGGTCATTCAATCCATGACTGTTTGTGGGACACTGCTGTACAATTGGCTACCGCATTTTGCCCACAAAATATACAGTCAATTCACTTGATAGTATATTCTGTGAAGTACTTTTGAGACATCTGGAAGATGTGATAAAGCACTATATCAAGTGCAAGGATTACTATCATTATTAAAAACGAAATGAGGAAAGCTGATTTATTTTTTCTCCTTTAATTTTGGATTATTCCATGTGTCCTTGGAGTGGAACTGGTGGCGTCTGTAGAAAACTAGTTGAGAATATCCTTCCTCAAAAGTTGGAGCAGCACATGTGGTAGCAGCATGTACTGGGATCCAATTGTTTCTGGAATCTGACATCAGACACTTATCTTAGTGTTGTATTTCACCATGCAATTAGGGTCTTCCTGCACACAAATGATACAGTGCAGGGCATGCTACTGGTAATTTTTCAGATAGTGGCAATTTTCATGTGGTGTCATACTGATTAGTTTTGGGATGCCTTGCCCCCTATGGTGTCCTTTGCATGATTTTGGAAGTAATCTCAGGGCAGAAGGGTCCAATTGGAATACTTTGCCTGTGCCTGCCAAACCCCTACTTGAGCAATCTACTCTAATCTTATTGTTCTTTTCTTTGCAAGAAGTAGGGTATAAAATGCGAACATGCATTTGTTTTAAATTTTTTAAAAAAATTATTGTGCTCCTTGAAATGCTTCTATTGATGGCTAGAATCTATTGTCAGTATCAAGCACTGCCAAGTGTTTCTCTCTCTCTCTGCTGTGCCTCTATTAAATGTCCTTATCCTTGTATCAAGAAGAGCATCTCCATTTTCTATTGAGATTTCCATCTTTGCAGCTACTCTGAATGAACATGCTGATATAAACCAACTCTGGGCTGGTTCATGCTGTAGTCCCATGCTCACTCAGACTCATTTCACAATAAGAACAATACTTGTATTTGGTACAGGGCCTTTCATGTCGAAAGGATGTCCCAAAATTCTTCACAGGATTTACTGTGAAGTGCAGTGACTATATGTGTAGGAGAATGTGGAATCACAGTTGTACACAGCTTTGTCCCACAATCAGCCATGAAATAAATGAGCAGTGTTTTTATTTGGAGGATTATTGGCCAAGACACCAAGAAAAATTCCCTTCTCTTTTTGAGCTATGTCATTTAACTTCCATCTGGACAGGCAGCTGGAACTATGGTTTAACATCTCATCTGAAGGACAGCGCCTCCAACAGTACAACACACCACCAGTAGTGCATTGGCATATCATCATAGACTATGGAAGTTCAAGTCTCTATGTCGGGCTTAAACCCACAACCTTTTGACTAAGAGGTTACAGTGCTACAACTAAGCCAGGCTGATGCATAAAACCCTTTCAGTTAGTTCAGATAGGAGACTCTCTCACCATGAAGTGGGCTGGATTAGAAAGAGCAAAAAAGAACTTGCATTGTTATGTGTACAAAGATTGATACATACATTGAACCATATCCAAGCCTTTTATCGTAAATATTGTCAAGTTTGTGACTTTTTTATCGGCAAATATGGCAACAATTAGATTCACAAATGAGGTACCAAAAAAGAGGCATGACTCTTTGAAGGTCTTCTTTAAAGACTTTTAAAGAATGACTGATTACTCTGGAGGATCGTTGGCTGTGGTACTAGAAGAAACTTGTCTTTTCAAATAGTGTCAGGGATCTTAACGTTTACCGAGAGAAGAGGCATATCTCAGTTTACCATCTCATCTGAAGAACCAGATCTCCAACAGTGCAGCACTCTGCTCCCCCAGTACTGCACTGAAGAGTCAAGATACACTAATGAGCTCATATTTCTAACATATGATTTGAACCCACAATATACTGATCCAGTGGTGAGAGAGCTAACAACTGACCCAAGCTGACTCACAATGACTGGAATAGGTTCAATGATACTCCCTTTCCATTAGGAATCAGAGTTACCAAGCTTCCATCTCGATCCAGCTGGTATCTATAGATTATTTGGTCATTCACCTCCTGATTGTTTTCGGGACTTTGCTGTGCACACATGGTTTTTCTACAATAGTGTTAGTAATTACAGAATTACTTTGTGATTGAGTATAGCAGGCACAACAAAAATGTGAGTTGTTTCCTTCTAACCTTTGGCCAGCTTTCCTAAGAGTAACATTTGGGCAAGGAATTAATTGCGATTATCATCCTTGACTCTAATTTTCAAACCATTCGATAAAGAGTGATGGAAAAAAATAATTTAATTAAAAAAACTGAAAGTTAATAATGTAATTTATGTAACTTATTTTTCCTGGATATATATATGTGCATTGATTTTATACAGGATGGTCTGCTCCCTCTGCAATAGGCATTGCTGGTCTCGGTGGTGGCTTTGAGATTGGAATTGAGGTATGATACTTTTTACATTCTAATAATAATAATCCTTGCATTTGATGTAGTGCCTTATCACGTCTTCGAGACATCTCAAAGCGCTTCACAGAATATACTGTAAAGTGAATTAACTATGTATTTTGTGGGCGGCCAATTGCACACAGCATGCTTGAATGCTGTTGCAATGTAGCAATCAATTCATGCGACTTGTGTATTGTGATAATTATCGCTTTGATACAGAATTCCTAATGTTAAAGTTTATTCCAAGTTACGATTCTACCATGTTCTTATCCATAGTATTCATTGTATGATCTCAAGCCCATTGATTCTAAGAATGAGTTTGGTTTCTAAGAATGAGTTTTGCGTGTCAGGGATTCAAGCAGGATACCTTTAATAGAGAATAATTAGTTTCCAAAGTAATGTTACACCAATAATTTCTTTAATTGATACATTTCTGGTGCTCCTTAATATGCCTTGTATTTGATATACTAATCCTTGCATTTGATATAGTTTCTTATCACGTTGTCAAGGCATTTCAAAACATAATTTTACTGTAGAGTTCAGCAACTGTGTATTTGTAGGGGATGCTGCAATTAATTTGCACACAGAAGTAGCCCACGAACAGTCATGAAAGGAATGACCTAATCCTACTTTTAAACTCTACTTCCACAATGGTTGTAAAAGAAAACTGGAGAGAAGATTGCACCAGAGAGGGTTGCAGTTATAATTTTGTTTCCATGTTCCTAGCCACAGTTAGGATATACGATGCACCACAAAAACGTGAAATGATATTTTGTTTTTAAGTGTCCTATTTGCCATTGGAACAATTTGTAGAGCAATGTCATTACGTTGGGTTAAGACAATTTGTTGTGCATGTTACAATACCAGCAGCAACAATTTGCATTTATAATGCCTTTCATGTTGGGCCTTGTAAGGTGGGGTGGAGAGAGCATCCAGGAAGGCATCACAACTGCAACAGAGACAAATTCTGTCTCTTCAATCTCTCTTCAATGAATTTTAATTTTGTCTAACGTTTCCTCTTAAAAAGTTAGGAGCAGCACAATTAAAATAGAGCTAAACAATTGTAAATTTCAAAATGTTATTGTGGTTATTAGTGTGATAATGTCAGTCTCTGTTTTTATGACTAATAATAACTCTTTTACTGAGGTCTCTTGTCAACAATAATTAGCTTAAAACAGTGATATTTTACTGTAGGGTCATGTTGACTGTCTTTTAATTGTATGTGAATCCTTCAATCCATTTATTTTACTGAAGGCAAAGCAAAGATCCACCTGCAACATTAAAATAAAATAATGGGCATGTTTAAAACTGTCCAGATTCTGCCTTCCTCCCCAATACTTTTAAAGTGCATATTAGATTTATTACCGACATTACAAGTGCTTTCCTCTCAGGGTCCTTTGGATTTCTTTTATAAATGGGCGTGCATGTTAGTGCATTATGCTGTTACCTTCCTCATTTGAAAATTTACTTCATTTTACTACAATAGCTTCATCTTGTCGGAGCTTGTTTATGAATCACCTCAAAACTACCTTTTGAAATGTGTGCGACATGTATTATTATTATTCCTCTTATCCTTTGTTATACTGTTAGTGTGTTGTATTGACTTGGGCAAATAAACTTGATGCAGCCAATGCAACTGAAACCCTCGTCCATACTTTCATCACCACCCACCTTGACAATTCCAATGTCCCCCTCACCGGTCTCCCAAGTTTCACTATCCACAAATTCCAACTAATTCATACTCCCCTGCCAGGCTCCACTGGCTCTCTATCACACAACAACAACAATAAATTACATTTGCATAGAGCCTTTCATGTCAGAAGGATGTCCTAAACTGCTGGATAATAGAGATTTGGACATGAAAAGGGGATTGGGATCAAGAGGATTGGAATTCAGGAAGGGTAGGTGTAGGAGGTTGACCAAAGGCGTGGTTGAAGAGGGGATTTTGAGACGTGCCTTGAAGGAGGCAAAGGAGAGAACAAGTCAAAGGAACTGAGGAATGGAGTTCAAATGAGTCAGTGCAGAGAGGCTGAAGGCCCCACTGCCAATAGTGGAGTGGACCGAGCGGGGGAAGCGGAGTAGGCCGGAGCCTGCTGAGTGGAGGGAACGGACAAGTTGGTAAGGAGTTGCTGGGTCACAGAGGTAGGAAAGGGGCAAGGCCATGGAGGGCTTTGAAGGTGAGGACTAGAATTTTAAACTCTATCCTCTGATGGATAGAGTTGCCTGTGAAGTTGGGCGAGGGTGGGGGCGAGGGTCACGGAGCCTGGTGCAGGAGATGACATGAGCTGCAGAGTTCTGAATAGTCTGTAGCTTGTGGAAGGAAGAGTTGAGAACATCACCAAGCAGAGAGTTTCTGTAGTCGAGTCTAGATATACCAAATGCATGGATGAGGGGCTCGCCGGTCTGAGGGCAGAGGCAGTGGCAGAGCTGGGCGATCTTGCAGAGGTGGGGGAAGGCAGAACAGGTCATGGCACGGATGTGGGGTAGAAAGGACAGTTGAGGGTCAAACAAGACGCCAAGGTTTCAGACTGGCTTAGTAAGGCGGAGTGTGCATCCTTGAATAGTGATGCTGTCAGTGCCTGAGGTGTGGAGGCGCTGACGGGAGCCATTCAAAAGGCCCTTGGTATTATTGACATTCAACTAGAGAAAGTTAGCTCTCATCTAGGACTTGATGTCTGACAAACGTTCTGTCAGGACATCAGTGGTCCTGGAGTTGAGGGTGGAGGCAGAGAGATAAAGTTGTGTGTCATCCGCATACATGTAGAAGTTGACCCCATGTCTGTGGATGATAAAATAATAATAATCCTTGCATTTGACATAGCGCTTTTCACATCTTCTAGACATCTCAAAACGCTTCACAGAATAAGCTGTAAAGTGAATTGACTGTATATTTGTGGGTGCAATGCGGCAGCCAATTGCGCATAGCAGTGTCCCACAAACAGTCGTGGATTGAAAATGACCAATATATTATTGTTTTGGGAGGGATTATTATCAGGCGTATGGAGTAAGGAAACTTGCCCACGGTTTCACTCTGCCTGGAATTGAACCCAGGTGTCTCACTTACAAGGCGAGTGCTCTAACCACTGAGCTACAGGACTCCACAGTTATCAGCAAGAGATGTTGAAGATGCGAGGACCAAGAACAGAGCCACAAGTAACGACATATGAGACAGTACAGGAGCTGCAGGACAAGCTGTTCGTAGAAACGATGTGAATACAAATCAACTTCAAGATCCTCCCACTTGGCACCTACCTACCTTTCCAACCTGCTCACTCCACATTCCACCCCCTCTGTTTGGCTCTGTCCTCCTGCTCGTTCCTCGTCCCCTCCTCTCCATCATCGCGGTTGTGCTTTCAGTTACTAAGCCGCAAAACTTTGGAACTCTTGTCTCAATCCCTCTACCTTGCCCACTCCCCCTTTTTCAGACATTCCTCTTCAACTGTGCTCAAGGTCACCTTCTCCATCCCCCCGGCTCGGCGTCAGGCTCCGCCAATTTTAAGCTCTCCAAGACGCTGCCCCACGTGAAGGGTGTTATATAAATGCAAGTTATTGTTGTTGCGAAGACCTTCCTTTTGAACTGTGTTTATGGTCAACTCCTCCCTCTCCCCGGCTCGACATCAGGCTCCACTACTGTTAAGGGATCTGAGATGCTACCCTGCATGAAGGACATTATATGAATGCAAGTTGTTGCTTGTTCTCAGCACCTGGATCAGAGTGTAGTGTCACTTACTCTGTAGGTTTTGTCGATAATAGAAGGAGTGTGTGTAATGGATAGCCACACTTGGTTCCTGTCTCTATTAGAGTAACCTGTTTGTCAGGACCTTGGCACAAAGGAGCCTGATGTATTATTTTAAGCCAGTCAATAAGTTCTTTCCATAAACTGTATTGATCTGGGTAAAAATAAAACAATATGTCAAACGTTTTATTTGTGTCTGAGGTGATAGCCATGACTGATTCCCATTAGTTTCATTTCAACCATAACTTTCTTTTGTTGTTGTAGATTTCTGACACACATTAATAATAATAATAATCCTTCTAGACGTCCCAAAGCGCTTCACAGAATATACTGTAAAGTGAATTGACTGTATATTTGTGGGCGAAGGCGGCAGCCAATTGCGCACAGCAATGTCCCACAAACAGCCGTGGATTGAAAATGACCAATTTATTATTGTTTTTGGTTTTGGAGGAAACTTGCCCAAGGTTTCGCCCTCTGCCTGGAATTGAACCCAGGTCTCTCACTTGCAAAGCGAATGCTCTAACCACTGAGCTACAGGACTCCACATTGACGTTTGAATGAATCCAACTTGATTCCTTTCTATATTGGAGCTGAAACGTCTTCTAACGTAGGAGTTATGTTAAGACTTTTGTCCTAAATTCACATTAGTAGCAGTATAAATCCGATGTACACTTTGTATGTTCACATAGAAAGCCCTCCATGGACTCACCCCACCCTACCTCTGTGACCTCCTAAACCCCTACCAACCCGCCCGTTCCCTCCGCTCAGCCGGCTCTGGTCTGCTCCGCGTCCCCCGACCCACCCTACCCACCATTGGCGGGAGAGCCTTCAGCCACTCTGCCCCCAACCTCTGGAATTCCATCCCCCAGTCACTCCACCTCGCCCCCTCCTTAGCCTCCTTCAAGTTCCACCTCAAGACCCTCCACTTTAACCATGCCATTGGCCATCCCCCTTCCCCTCCCCTCCCTTCTCCCCCCCTGACCCCAGTTTGGGTCTGAAATGCTGTACTCTGTCCAGTGCCTTGGGACGTCCTCCCGACGTGAAAGGCGCTATACAAGTGTAATCTTGTTGTTGTTGTTGTAGAATATGCAGAGTTCCTGAAACCATGCTTGGATTTTGTTTTGTTTCCACTGAGATTCAGGCATGCAGGTAGTCCACAACTGGAGTCGTTATGATATATATAACTGTGGTATAACTATTGAAGATGGTGCAGTGCCACAGAAACCACTGTTGAAATGCTTGTATCTACAGGGTTATAGTA